CCTCACCGACCCCTCACAGCCACCCTGAGAGGGAGCAGTTATCCCCCCACCTGACAGCCCAGGAGACGGAGTTTCCATGTCTTTGCCTGAAGTCACACAGCTAGTACTTGGGGGGGACAGAAATCAGCTCTGTGTCTGTCTCGGGGTTCAGGCACGCCCCATAAGGAAAGTGTCACCCCAGACTGCACTCTGAGCTGCCAGGAAGCTCTTGTCAGATGTGACCTCAGAGAAAGGGAACATGAGCAGAAGCAGAGCTGTGCTCTGGGCTGAGGAAGAACAGATGTTAAAAGGCCCCAGGACAGGCAGGAGACAGGACACAGAAGTGGGGAGCCATTGTCCTAGGGATCTGGTGCTGCTTGTCCTCCTGTGAAGGGCCAGGCCACCTCATCCTTCCCAACGTGTCCCCAGCTGCCTCCCCAAGTCCCACCCCAAACTTTCCTGGGTGAGAGCATGGCAAGCTGGGCCATAGGTTATGTGCAGATTTTTTTCAAATAGAAGTACCAAGGTTCCACCCAATGCTGCAGGACTATTTGGATCAGTCTGTCCAGGATCCCGTGTGTGAAAGGTCTACTGGCCCATGTGGGCCCGTTTCAGCCTCTACTCAGAACTGTGTTAGAATCAGTCTTCACTGTAAATACCTGTGAAGCGGAGATAATAACTGTCGCTGCCGCAATTGGAAAACGGGAGCAGTGGGTGAGATAAGGCACGTGAAGGGCTTGGAACTGGATTTTTCTCAAAGTGAGCTTAGTTCCAGGGGCTTGGATTCTCATTTTAAGGCGGGTGGGCAGGGAATCGCTCTGCTGCCATCTCGTGTGCAAATAGGGAATAACACCAAATGTAGGTCACCAGAAAAAGTCGTTCTCTGCTGCCACCTACTGTCCATCATTGGGATGACATCTGAGTGCAAGCCACCAGCAAAAGCTCTCCTTTCCAAAGGCCTCTCAGACATTGAAGAAGCATGTGTCAGACCCAGGGCTGTGCCCCAGGTGCTGTCATCTGTGCCCTGGAAGCTGCTCGCTGGAATGTAGAGTCCTGGAGGTGAAACCCGGCACACGGCTTGGCACACGTGAATTGACTGCCTCTTGCCTGGCTCTTACCTGTGCTGCCTTATGCCACTCTCCCCTCCTGCCTCCCTACTTTCCCCAGGGCCGTTTTTGTGCTAACAGTGTGCTTAGAGGGCCTCTGTAAGTCACCACATCTGGGGACAGTGGGGTGCAAATCAAAGATTTATTTTGCATGTAAAAGAGGCAGCCCAGGAGGATCAGACCAACAGGAACTCAGTTCTGAGAGCTGAAAGCTTAGGCGTGGAAAGACCCCAGGGAGGCCTGCAGGGGCCAGACTGCAGTCTCCAGGGAGAGCTGGGGAGGCAGGCTGTGGTGGAGTCCCGGGCTCTGGCCTGGGCGCTGGGGCCGAAGGGGTCTTGGGGACTCAATTCCAGGTGCAGCATTTGCAGGAGGAGCTGAACACCAGGCTGTTCGGGCAGCTTTGCTGGAACTGCCTCCCCCCTGCACAGCTGTAGTAGCTGGACCTGTCCTGAGGGTTGGGGTAGAGTCCGTCAGCTTTGCCCTGGCAGAAGGTGTCTTGTCCAGGACTGGGGCCACTCTCAGGTTCTGAAGGCTGGGCTGGTGTGGTAACTTCAGGTTCTTGAGGACCTAAAGGCATATGTGGAAGACCTGGGGAAACAGTGCAGAGTCAGCTAAGGACACTCCAAGAGACCCCAAACCCACAGGCCACATTCACAGTCAGCGACCACAGGCAGATAACAGGTCAACACCCCGCATCCTACAGGCAGAGAACAGCCACACCTACAGCCACCGTGCAGCTCAAGAGAAAACATTCAGGCTACACGTGGAACAGGCAGCCAGAGGCCACCTCCCGTCTGCACAGCCCAGCCACATGCTGGTGAGGGCCTGTGGAGGCCTCACGCTCCGGGCGGAGTGCAGACCTTCTTGAGAAGGGAGAGGCAAGCAGCGGCTCCCAGGCGGACGGCCCCTGGGGGGAAGCCCTGGTGACCCAAACCCTGGGCAGCCATTGCTACAACCACAAAGGGAAAGAAGAATGTTAAAAGAGAGTTGTTTCAGCAGTTTCCTCAGCCCAGATGGGTGCGTGACATTTGCGAAGTCACAGTGTTGGGGCAAAGTCACTTCCTGAGATGGAGCGGGGACCCACAGCTCAGGGGGGAGCTTGATACCGTCCATGAGTTCCGCCTCTGGGCCCTGGCCCCCGACTCACCTAGCTCGAGCTGCAGGGTCTTGATGAGGGGGTATTGGCCCTGGTTGCAGAAGGAGCCGGAGAAGTCGTCCATGTCCAGGGCCCAGACCATGGCCCCGCCCAGTCCCTTCTGCTTCAGGTAGCTGACCTGTGTGAGGAGCAAGATGGCAGTGGAGGAGCCCAGGGCAGCTGGGCCGGGCCTGCCTCAGAGCCCAGCTCCCTCCTCTAGGCAGGGCCCTTTTTTCTCCAGCAGCCCCAGGCCCATGAGTGGCTGAGGCTTCTGGACACAGCCCTGGGCTGGGAGCCTAGACAGCTGAGTCCTGACCCCTGCCAGGCAAGAGTCATCCTGGAACCTCCTGCCCCGACATGAGCATGGCCTGGGGTGGGCGTGGGGAGTGGGTGTCTGTGTGGGCGTCCTGAGGTGGGAGGCCTTCACATCTCGGCCTCTTCTGTTCTGATCTGCTGTGTCTGCTGGTCGAGATGAGTCCCGTTACTGTAATGAATGGCTAAGCTTCCCCACGGTCTGAATCAACTCCCTGTCGTCATGTCGTTGTGCTCCCCAGGGGCCCTCTCCTCTCCTCCAGGTCCCCTGGCTGTGTGTCCCTGCCAGGATGCCATGGCTCACCCCGAGTAAGGCTGGGGGCTGGAGGGTACGGCTGGGACGCTGGCTGGCCCCAAGCTCCCTCCCCAGCTCTCTCCCTCCTACCAGGGTCCCCCTTCAGGGTTCCAGCTGTGCGGGCCCACATCTCCCCTTTGATCTCCACCATGCCTTCGCTCCTGCAGTTTTCTCCCCAGAGCGCCCATTTTCCCGTTTTAAGACTTTCTCAAAGACCCTTTCACCATGACCCTTTCTGCTGTCTCCCCAGCCAGGACCATGCTCCTTCCTCAGTCCTCCCAGAGCCTCCGTCTACACCTGTGGAGGAAGCTGCCACTGTCTGCCCCGCGTGAAAACTGACGCCACATCTACAGATGGACAAGTGCTGGTCCCTCTGCAGAAGCTGCCCGTCTCGTGGGGGACAGAGGCAGGCAGACAGTAAACACAGCCAGCTTTAGAGCCACCAGGTTTGGGCAGGAGCTGGGGGTCATGTGAGTGAATCAAAAGGTCTATCATTTGAACATGCAGCAAATATTGGCCTGGATAAAACCATCTGCCTCACTGTGTGTACTTCTCCTTTTCATATGTCTTTAAAATTTGTTTGTGTTTAATAAATGCCAATTCTTTCAAGAATGCTTCTCAATGTAGAGCAGTTTTGTGTCATTGTTTCTTATCTTAATGTGTGGTGAAGCTACAAATGCTGTCACATGGCAATGTGGGACACGCGGGGAGTTTTAAAGGAGATTCCTCCTTGAAGCGAGTCTGAGTGCTGTCATTTAGTGTCATTGACGGGCCTCGGGCCCACCAGACCCACTGCCTCCCAGCGGAGCTGGGCCTCACCTTGGCTTTGAAGCTCTCCACATCATCAAAGCCCACCCACTGGTCACCCTTGTAGGCATAGGGCACCCTCTGGTCCTGGATTCTGTGCTCAGCAGCCCCCTTCCAGGAGCAGACCTGTAGGAGCAGAGGACAGAGTGGGGAGGAGGCGGGAGGCACCACAGGCACCTGTGCCTCCTGCCCAGAGCAGACGAGAGCACGAAGTTCCTGTCTGCGGAAGCCTGGAGAACCTGCGAAGTTCTAGACTGCGCAGCCTAGAGCCGTGGCTTCAATGAGGCGCCTGGGCTTAAGGACCAACCCGAGATGACAGGCGTGGGGTGGGACCCACCTGGCCAGCATTTGCTGGGCCTGGCATCCCCAGGGGTGCCTGTGGGCTCCTACCTCGTAGAACGCCAGCAGCCCCGCCTCTTTGGTGAAGGGGCCAGGGGCTCCAGGCCCCGTGGCTGGGGCCCCCACTCCAGTGTCTGATGAGGAGGCCAGGGTGAAGGACCGTCCGTAGGTGGGCATGCCGAGGACCAGTTTGTTGGCGGGGGTCCCCTTCTGCAGCCACAGTTGCACGGCAGAGTCCTGGGGGTGGAGAAGGAGAGCAGGCTTGATCTGCCTCCAGCCTGCTGTGGCCTCCTGGGCCGGGGCCCCCAGAGGAGCTTCACGGTCCTTTATCAGTGTTCCCACCTGCCGCATCTTCAGGTCTGGCCTTAGTGAGAGAGGCTGCATGGCACTCGAGCTAAGAGTCAGACAGCCACTCACCAGGCAGACATGCACTGACCCCACTGTGTGCCAAGCACTGTCCCAGGTGCTCCGGCTACCTCAGCGAGCACGAGCTCGGCCTTACTCAGCAACTTACTTAATCCTGCTGAGCCTCAGGCTTCCTGTCTGTGAAACGGAAACAATAAAAATATCTACGTCTGAGGGCATCGCGAGACTTCAAGGCTACAGTGCACGTATAATGCCTAACATAATGCGATACGGGGCAGCTACCGTCACGACCGTGGTCGCTATCATTTCACCCCGAGCACAGGAGGAGGGGGCTGGGTCTGCTTGGTTCATCTCTGTCCCCAGTGCCTGGGACAATGCTGGACATTCATGTGCTCAAGTAGAAAGAACAAACGAGTACAGGGCTTCCTCTGACATGGTGCGCCGGGCCCGAGACATGAGGAGGTGCCCAGTATAGGCCTGTGGAATAAATGAATAAAGAGAACTGTCGGGCCGGCCAAGTGGCGCGATGGT